AACTCGCCCCCGCCCGCCCAGTTCCAGTTAGTGTCTCTGATCCCTGACCCTTCCCCACACATGCCCCTCCACCTGAGCGGCCTGTAGGTCTGTTGAACTCACTGGCAGAGCTTTGGAACTTGGCGGGTCCTGCAGCTGTCCAGCTAAGTGGAAGTTTGACATGTTGACAGCTAATAAAAATTTGCAAGCTGCAGAACAAGGGGAGGGAGAGGCAGGCCAGTGGCGGGCTCCTATTTCTCATCTGCTAAGCTCGTTGAAGAGTGAGCAGCATTTTCCAGAGGCGTGTGGTCAGGGTGCAGGGTTCCCGCCTGCAGGCACCGACAGCGTTCAAGATACAAGTCCTTTCAAGACGTGTTAAGTGAGTGGAAAGGCTGCCACTGATTTCAGGGGGTTTTGGATCAGGTTCTTAGGGCCTGATCCTATTGCCAGTGAAAAAAGCAGCCATATCCCCCTTGACTTCAATGGGAACGGGATAACACCCTTACTTGTGTGCTCCCCCAATTCTCCATGATGGGGCTCCTTTTTCTCACTTGCCTCGTTTGCCCCCGCTCCTACCCCACACAAGCAAACCACTGGGGCTGTGTCTAGACTGGCAAGTTTTTCCGCAAAATCATCTGCTTTTACGGAAAAACTTGCCAGCTGTCTACACTGGCCGCTTGAATTTCCGCAAAAGCACTGACCATCTCATGTAAGGTTGCCAGTGCGTTTGCGGAAATACTATGCTGCTCCCATTTGGGCAAAAGTCTTTTTCCGAAAAACTTTTGCGCAAAAGGGCCAGTGTAGACAGCAGAGATTTGTTTTCCGCAAAAAAGCCCCGATCGCAAAAATGCCGATCGGGGCTTTTTTGCGGAAAAGCGCGTCTAGATTGGCCACAGACACTTTTCCGCAAAAAGTGCTTTTGCGGAAAAGCATCCTGCCAATCTAGACGCGCTTTTCCGAAATGCTTTTAACGGAAAACTTTTCCGTTAAAAGCATTTCCGGAAAATCATGCCAGTGTAGACGAAGCTTGGGAGTCGGGTGGGGCCACGCCTGCGGAGCACTTGCATTTAGTCCCCAGTCTGGTCAAGCTCCCCATAGCCAGGTGTGAGACGTTCAGGTGGGGTCACTGCAGGGCTGGTTGCTCATCAGGGTATGTCTGCACATCACCGTAGGGAGGGCAATCTCAGGTCAAGGAGATGAACCACATTAGCTCTAATCCAGCCTCGTGCCCTGTAAATAGGGGATACCTGCTACA